TCTCTAATACTGGCATCAATACTGGATCGGGTCCAGCTTACATCCAGGACCTGGTCCAACCCGACATCCCGACCCGCACTCTCCGCTCTGCATCTGTAAAACTACTCGTCCCTCCCTCACTGAGAGCAAAACACTCGACTAGATCACGACTCTTTGCTGTCCTTGCGCCGAAATGGTGGAACGAGCTCTCTGAAGACATCCGGACCGCAGAGAGCCTTCACATCTTCCACCGTAAACTAAAGACACACCTCTTCAGACTCTACCTCGACTAAAAGACTAACAAATTGTAGCACTTAGCAAATTGTAAATTGGCTTATTTGAGGAAAATGCACTTTCTTGTTTCTTGTTCTTCTCAACTTGTATCCTATGGTTGAATGCACTTATTGTAAGTTGCTTTGGACAAAAGCGTCAGCTAAATGGCATGTAATGTAATGTAATGTACTTATCAGAGTTATTGCTAAAGCTTCCCCTCAAATTCCTGACAGCGGATGTCCTATCACACTTATATGGCAGACGATGCTGACAGTACTCAGAGCAGGGGTTTTCTCCCTTTACATTAGTGCTCTGCCAGAAGATATGTATTTATTAGCTTCCTATGCTTTTTCTTGTCAAATACTTAGACAACTCCTCTTCATACATCCTCGTCCATGATTACATGGGGAATATGTATGTATTATTATACTGAATAATTTCATGGGATATCTACACAAATTACACAATATACTTTTTTGTAGATATAGCTACACATGTTGGACGAGACCGGCCCGCATGCACATTTTTCCCGGGGGAATGACTTGATTTTTCATTGAGCACCACGATTAGTCCATTTAGCATGATAAACTCAGAAGAGGAAACCAAAAAGAGTGCGTGAGGTGTGGCAATGTGTGATGTGATTTAGTAGAAGATTGTCTGACTCACGACTCTCCCTTCATATGAATGAATTAGAACAACTCAGTGACCCACCCACCTTTAGGCTTTGTCTATAAACATTACCTATCAGGTTTTTTCTTGCTACTTTTAATTGTCTTCACACCCCTAGTTAGCGTCACAGTTCCCTGCAGTCCTGACCTCATGCTCACCTGTTGCCATTTCCCTATTATTTTTTTTACAAATAGCCCAGTTATATATTTTTTAGGCATGCCAGAGGCCACTAAAAATAAATAGTTTATGAAAACGGTGAGTGACATTTTGCTCACAAAGAAATGATATGATAGTAAATATTGTTTTCATTATACAAATATATAGTATAACATGTTAATATGTATAATGAACCAAAAATTAAGAATTGACTGGTTCCTTTACCTTTTATTGACATGTACATGCTGAGACAGCTGCCATTTGGATTCAGTGCAGCAGACTCAGTCAAAGAAAAGACTTTAATACTATCCGCCCAGAGACTTGTTTTTCTGGCTTATGTTTACATGTGTTGTGATGCAAATTCAAAAAATATACTACTGGAAAGTACTGCTGTTTTTGTTTAGTTTGGCAAGTGCTTATTGTGTCACAATTTGGTTAAAACTGAAATCCGTAGTTCATCCCTGTGTTGCTTCAGGTTAAATTTCACAGGTTGGGTGAGTCAGTTGGTCTCCAAATTCAGAAATCAAAAACTACGGACTTGGATAGTGGCAGCAAACTTGTTTTGCAAACTTCTGTTGTACATTTAATTAAATACCTCACTGCTAAACTAAACTCTCCTCTGCCACGCCGCCAACTCGTTCTCCCATTCAAAATGAGCCGCTGCTCTCTCTCGCTTCACATGCACTGGCTCTGCTATCCAAAAAACCAATCCTGCCTATACATGAATGCACACGTTATCATATGTTAATGATACACTGCTCTTAGGTATTAAAGAAACCATATTTTATCATGGTATCATGGCATGAATTCAATTGTAATTCTCTGATAACAATCTGGTCAGGTAAGATGTGACGTCCAACTCCTCCAGGATGGCACATCCACGCGTGCCGTTGGAAGGAGATCTGTTGTGTCTCACGATCTCCAGAAAATGGAGGAGATTCCAGTAGATAGGCAGTTACTCTAGGAGAGCTGGACGGGGCCATAGAAGGTCCTCAACCCATCAAGAGGACCAATATGTGCTGCTTTGTGCACTGAGGAACAGGTTGAGCAGAGTCCCACAGAATGACCTCCAACAGGCCACTGGTGTGAATGTCTCCGCTCAAACAATCAGAAATAGACTTTATGAGGGCGGCCTGTAGTGTGCCCTGTGCTAACTGATCAGCACCGTGGAGCTCCATTGGCTTCTGCTGTAGAACACCAGTATTGCCATGTCCGAGACCGGACTAGCCTACCACATCATTTGACTTTGATTTTCATTACCATTTTCAATGGAGGGCTTTCACTTAGAATATGTACTTTTAAACTGCTATTACTAGTTTTACTTGATCAAAGGGTCTGAATACTCCCTGCAGCAGTGCATGTTGGCACCCTTAACATTCTGCAGAAATCTATAATCTTCAGGCACCATCTTCTACGTCAAGAAAGGAATAAACCATCGTCACTTGTTAAAAGAAATGTAAACGAGAGGCTTTTAAACCGAGGTATTAAACTGATCTCCCAGAATGGGAAAAAACTATAAATTGTTCAAAAGCAGGTCTAAAAAAAGGTAAATCAAGAGATTTATATTTTTTATTAAAGCGAATTGTCTTGTCATCTGCACCCCGAGCCTGAAATGAAGCTTGATTGCTTGATACGTATAGTACAGAGAAGTATAACTTAGATAATAATATAGATTTGTTGCATAAGTTTACTGCAGCAGCAGAGATCTCAATGTATGAGTAAAGGTTGTGTCAGAGCGACGCCCCCATGCTGCAGCATGTTCCCTTTGAGCGGCGGGATGACACAACACGACATGTTCCTCTCCTCTGCCTCGTCCCAGGATCGAAAGAACTTTTCAACTCAATTTTTTTATTTTGCCCAGCGTCATTGAATTTTAAGTTACCTTTGACCCCCATGTTTTTCATGGACATTTTGAAATGCAGGCTGACTCAATTATCACCATAAAATGTTAAACAAATTTCAGTGAAATAAAAAGAGATGACAAGCGTTAGTTTTTATCAACCACAAGGCCAATTTCATTACAAACTGCACAGGTATTGCAAAAGGGATTTCTACGGATCAGAGAAAAAAAAAAATCCCTTGTGATACGACTCACAGCAATGAGTAGTGGTTTTAGTCATTCAGAATTTTTGCAAATGTTGATCTTAATTATCTTTGGTGACAGATATCCAGTGACTGGGAATGCTTCGCTTTACTTTGTCACACAAACAGTTTTGCTCCAGGGCATTTTGAACGAACCTCATATTCCTTGGGGATGACGTGTTAAAATAAACAGCAGCGTTTTATTGCGTTATTTTTAGTGGTGCTGTTGAACTTTAAGGGTATTCTTCCACTATGTTCATTCATTCATTCATCTTCAACCGCTCAACCGGGGTCGCGTCGCGGAGGCAACAGCTCCAGCAGGGGATCCCAAACTTCCCTGTATTGGGCCACATCTACCAGCTGTGACTGGATCCCAAGGCCTTCCCAGACCAGAGATAGAATCTCTCCACCGAGTCCTAGTCAGATTTAGGAGCTGATCCTCATTCCAACCGCTTCACACTCGGCTGCGAACCGCTCCAGTGAGAGTCCACTATGTGCATCGTACTATTTACTCGACACAGACTTTGCATATTCAGATTATTAATACAAACCATAATCAAAAAAATCTTGAAAAAGGAAACATTCATTAGAAACTACTTATATGGGGAGATATGACAGCGGGAGGAAAACAAGGTCAGCATTCCATCACAAATGTACTGTAATTTCTTATGCTCTTCTGCATTTGGGAGATACAAACCACATCCAACAGACAAAGTGAGCAGCTCTCTGCATCTATATATCATATAGATGCAGAGAGAGAGAGAGAGAGAGACTATATATATAGTACAACGCCCCTAGAACCATGGAACACGGTCTCAACCTAAAGCTAGCGAGTGGCCGAGCAGGTGTGTGTATGGGTTTGTACATCACAAAAAGCTACATTCTGTACTTTTATCAGCTCAAATGACAGTTTCCGGAAGTCTGACCGAATGCAACCTGTTACGGAGACCCCCGACAGACAGAAGCACTTATACATACATGAATGTGTCCGTGACTCTTTTCACAAAGACAAACAAATTGGATTGTCCTTAACAAAATATTTGAATGAGATTGTAGTTTCATTTAAGTGCATGTGTTAATTTGTGTGATTGTGCGTGTCCTCGGTGTAACCAGCTGAATGGGTGTGTTGTGGACTCCAGCACAGAGGAATGTCAGGCGTGGTTGTCAGCGTTGCCCAACACAAAGCAGCTCTGCGTTCAGCTTGACACCTATGGCAACAGTTCGCTGACTGGAGACTCGACCTCCCACACACAGGCTGTCAGGCCGGCCTGTGTGTGGGAGGGGTATCACAGGTAGCCTGTCATGGATAGAAAAACAGAGTTGGTAGTGGGTTCAAAATATATCCCAAATACTTAAAAATGAATTTGTTTTGTGTTTTCAGTTTGGATGTTTCCGAGTGGGGTGGTATGATACAGTGTGTGTAGGTGGTGGTCAGCACGCCTCCAGTTTGCCAACACAAACTACTCAGTCCACAGATGTACATTGCTTTGCTCCTTTGACGTTCTCGTTGTCTGGTTTCTAACACCAATGCATTTTTTGATTATTTATCAAATAGATAAATAAATAGAAGGGATTGGTATTTTTCAGCTCCAGTTATTAGTCAAGTTATTTAATACAGAAACATGAAATATGAGTCATATTCTTGAAGGGAAATTATTCCTAAATCAGTTACAATAGCTGCATTTTGGTGACTGGTACACCATCTGCAAAAATGTTGGGAGGGAGAGAGACAGATTGACATTGCTCATAAACTTCCCTCTACTTGTGGCAGAAATGACGTTTCCCTCCCTGTTCGCCACCTGTGAACAGGCGCGCCAGGTTACGTGACCGCTCTGCGCGCGCGCGTCTGCGGCGTCACGCGCGTTCCCTCCACGCCCAGGTGTAGCCCTGTAGACACAACCCACAAGAGAAACTCCTTGTCGGGGCAAAACACCTCACACCTCAGACTGTCAGTCGACCACAGAGCAGCGGGGACGGATCACGCGACACGGTAAGAAGCGGATGAATGAGCCGGAGCTCGGACGCGCTGCGGGTTCGGGTCCCACCTCCTCCCTCACAGCGCACCCTTCCTTTCCTGGTGCGGGAGTTAAACTGAGTGTGGTGGAAGAGGGGAAACCTGCATGGGGACAGAAAGGACTTACTCATAAGCGACTTAAGTAAATGTAAATCTATCGGGTCACAAAAGGTGTGCTATAGGACATAGAACAATATCTTTCTGAAGATAAAAACAAGTTTAAAATTGGCCACAAAGTTAAAAGAAGCATGTCTGGATAGAAGAGTTGCGTATGGAAGAGGATTCGGAACACATGCTGATATCTATGTTTCTCTGCACATTACACATGTTTGTGTGTTAGAAAGTTGCAGATCACATTCTGGCTTTGAAGTCAGGTTTGTTTGTTTTAATATAAAAAAATGTAATTGTGTTTTGAGTTTAAAAGAGAGAGTTAAATGGCAAAAGTGTAAGAATTTTCTGAAATGTTCCCCACAATTCTCAGTTTGACAGCTGGGATCGGCCATCCAACGTTGATGATAAAAACCTTCCATTATTCCCAGTGATGAAATCTATGTTTTTGTCTTCCTCTGCCACTCGGCTCTCAGTCAAAGGGCGAGTCTTACTGTGCTCTGATAAAAGCGCTACTGAATGCAGTCTTTATCTTTATTTCAGCAAGGCGGGGGGTAATGTATGTTGTTGAATGATGAGGATGACAATGAGGATGAATGATAATAAGAAGAACAACACCAGAACGTGTTTTGACGAAACAGCAAGTTGTTGGCGTTCTGGGCCACTGTTTGATAGGGTTAAATAAAAAACAATCCAGTTATTGCTCCATGATTTTTCTGTTGGCCCCTTTAAGGTTACAGTTGTAGTACAATAGTACTTCTCCAACTGCATTGCTTAGTAATGAATAAAAAGTTTGTCAGTCTTGTCAGATGAAAGACGTTTGTTTGTGGGGTGACATTTACAAAGAGCGCTGGCTCTTTAGCCCACCACATGGACAGTTTATCCGGGTGCCACTGAAGCCCACTTGAAGGTGATGGGTCAATACCACTCAGACTACAGAAACCCTACCGCTTCTGTTACCAAAATCTTGTCCCATTGTCTACAGATTCATAGAATCGGTAAATAGAGATTGCATCCAACGGTCAAAGCATCTTTCACTCTCTCCCTTTGGCTCTGTCTTCATCCCTTCTTTCTTTCTCACGTTCCCCCCTTGTGAAATGTCATGTGTATGTTCACTAGTCTGTTTTAGTTTTGACCGTTTTCCCCACATTTCCACTTTTCACTAATTTCTTCTCATTTTATTGTTTGGTAATTGTTTACCTTTTTCTTGACACGTAGTAATTGAATCCTCTCTTGACCTCCGCTCTTTGACCTTAAATAATTGTTTTTTTTCTAAATACGTGGACTATTTATCTGTTCAGAATAGGTTGGAATGTGAGAAAAGGCATTGTAAAGATATCGGTGTCTGATATGTGTGGTTCAGAAGATCACAGCTCCTCACTCTGCGTATCTTGTTGCTTTCTCTCTCACTCTACTCTCTCTATTTATTAATGGGACTCCTTTCCCTTGACCCCGGTCCAGACAGTTAACCAACCAGACCAACGAGAACTGTGCTCTCTGTCTGCTGACGGGAGTGTGCTCACCTGTGTGCGCGCTTGTGTGTGTTTGCGTGCGTGCATTTGGGCGGAACTCTGAGGAGGATTTGTAAACATGTGACCATGTAGAAACAGAAATGACATGCCATCATGTAAATAATATAAATAACATGAGATATTTAGTTTCTTTAATAAAGTAACAGGGTATAGACCGGTTCTATAGCAAAGGTAACCTTAAATTACTTCTGTTAGGATCTGGTGCTATTTAAAAAATAAAAACCCCAAGACTTTGTTGGGGGTGCGCCAATATAATGGTAGGGGAACCACTGTTGGGTTTTTCCCCTCAACATCATTACATAAATATAAAACCAAGGGATGATGTTGTGACAGTTGGGTATTTTCCTCTCATGCTGATTCTTAAATGCACTGATACTGATACAATACCTGTTATTTAAGACTTTCCTACATTACGAATATATGCAAGGAAAACTGCAACTGTCAGCTTGTCCGACGATTGTCGTTTTCTTCCTTGCTTCCTCCCTTGTCAAAGTCCTTTGGCACAATACTGAAACCCAAATTGCTGCCGAAGCCTGTGCCATCAGTATAAATGGTAAATGGTAAATGGACTGTACTTGTATAGCACTTTTCTAGTCTTCTGACCACTCAAAGCGCTTTAACACTACATGACATCATTCACCCATTCACACCCATTCATACACTGATGACAGGAGAACCACACACAGTGACACCTGCCATCAGTAACTAACATCCACACACTGTAGTCGCAGCTACAGGAGCCATGTTGGGTTAAGTGTCTTGCTCAAGGACACATGGACATGCGGGTTAGCAGAGCCTGGGATCGAACCGACAACCCTCTGTGGGTGAGTGGGGACACGTCGTCCTCCAATCAGTCACCCAGTGTGTGAATGTGTTGGTGTGGATACTGAAAATATTGTCATGTAAAGTAGAAAGAGAATATTAGGAAGGAGCTTTCTAAAAACGTGTCTATTTACCATGAACATTTTTCAGATGGGTTTGTCTGTGTGAGGTAATCGCTATGTGTGCAAGATGTCAGAGTTGTGCGCTGTCAACTAAACCTTCTCAGTGACAGTAGGACCAGCATGGACAATGTTGCTGTGTTCTTCCATTGCTGCGTGATGACTTTTCGTTCAGGGTGTTGTCAGCTGTCAACCCGGTTTACAAGAAGTTGGCCTTCATTCTCTACAGTCCAAAAAGTTGGAAACAATCTACGCAGTAATATAATCAAATACATTTAATAAAAGCTTCTTTTGAGGAATTATCCATAGTTTTATAAAGACATGCTAAGTCATTATTGAAATAATCTCTATAAAAATATATTCGCATACAAATGCAAATATCTGTAATAGCTCGAGAATTTCAAATGGAAAGCGTTTAAGTTTCAGTTTAGCCCGAGTTATATTTACTGAACGATTATTGAGGATATGCAATTTTGTCGTAGATGTCATCTCTCTCAAGTTGATAATTGTAACATTGCACAAAAGAAGGACAGCCTGATATCCGCTGGCTACACCAGAGCCTTAGAAATACTGCCGTCCCCAGAGGCTTCATTATTGTCAGAACCATAGCCATGGGGTTCCGAGATTAATTGTACAGTAAATCTAAAGCAACACAGTGAATGCTAAAGAATTGGAGTGGACCTCGCTATAAATCAGCACACGGATTAAAAAAATCATCAGAAGGGCTGGCTGAGTAAATGGCCTTACCCAGACCCACTTTAGGTCAAAGGTAAAGGGTAAAGAGTTGAGACGATTATTTTGAAGGCCGTCCCGTATGCTGTGTTGTTGATCGACTCTTTCAGTTATTGGCTCAGGATGCCTCTGTGTTCTACTCAACCCCCAGAAGATCCTTTGATCCAGCAGTTCGATATTCGAATGAACACCTGTTGGATTTGACTTTTTGATTTAACATCTTTCTGAGGTTTTTCATATCTCTTATGGCATTTTTTTTGTTATTTATTTCGATGTGTTCATGTTTTCTAGGTTTTTTTTTCCACTCTGGAAACTAGATCTAGTATGTGCGGGCTGTTTTTGGTGCCAAGTTTTCCCACTGGTGATTAATAAAGTTTTGTTATTTAATCCTGACCATGCTAAATTGTTAGCAGTACAGTGGCGGGGTGTTGCTGTAGTAATTATTACCGTTGGGTGAACTCTCAACATCCTAAATGGTGATATGTGTAAGACATCCCAGTAGAGATAAAGTGTAACCATTGGTGCTATACTTTAAATTTAGTTAGATTTTAGTACTGGCCCATTAGGAGAAACTTATAGGATTTTGACTGTGCGTCATGTTGTCACAGAGTGCTACTTAACGATGACTCATGGTAAAGGTGTGAATGGGAACAGGGTTAGGCATGTCAGGAATGAGGGTGTGATCCTTGAGCGTTCACAGTCACTCAAAATTGTCTGCAATGGTAACATTACGTACTTCCTATCGTTTGTGTGTGTGTGGTGACCTAATCAACTCACCCTGTAAAGTACAGCTCCTGTAGCTGGACCCTCTCACCCTGTACTCCCGCAGCACCTTCCACATTATCTCTCGGGGGACCCGGTCATACGCCTTCTCCAAGTCCACAAAACACATGTAGACCGGATTAGCATACACCCAAGCCCCCTCCATGATCGTTGAAAGAGTAAAGAGCTGGTCCGTCGTTCCACGACCAGGATGAAAACCGCATTGTTCCTCTTCAATCCTTGGTTCGACTATCGGCCGGACCCTCCTTTCAAAGTAAATGTGAATAGTAAATGAGGGAATATAATTTAGTGCCATTAATTCTTCACTCACCTCGTGCTTCATTCACATTGTTGCAACCGTTTCTTTGCCTTTTTACAGTAAAAACTTTTAACAGATTTAGATGGGGGGCATCTCTTTCTGCAGGAACACATGGTAGATTATGGGATTTAGATGGACTGCTTCGAGGACACTTCATCGTCTGCTTGCCCACAGTATTGTCTAGCGCTTCGCATTGGGTATTTCAAGGCTTCATTAGTCGTTAGATCTGTACTCGGATTTGACAGATGTTCACACGTTGGAATATGTTGGGTTTGTCTGACAGGGAAGGGAGGTGTTTTTGTTATCCACTGACTTCAACAAGAGATTCTGACGCGGGGGGAATATTATGGTTTGTAATGTAATGATAGAAATCTGTCTGAATACCAAAGAAGCAACACACTGTCTATGCACAGTTCTGTAATTCTCTTTTACAAACAACTTAGTTATTCCTGCAAACTGGCGTATCAACTCACTAAACTGAATGCTTCTCATTATGTTTTTGCACAGAAAGCCTTTCATCCCATTTCATCAGCCTTTCCAAGGTTCCCCACCGTAATATAATGTTCGGGCCAAACGGTTTAGATTTTAGGGTCATCAGTGTGTTTTGGAGCCCATTTTATGCATCTTGTAATTTCTCCTGCTAATGGACGCCCGAGAGTCCAAATTATTCATCCCCGTCATTTCAGAACTGCCACCAAGTATCTCCTGAAATGCGTCTTTGTGCATTTTTGCATTTTATAGCTACTTGTTTTTTTCCCCACCAAGTTTTAATGAGTGTTGTTTTGCATTATTCAGTACCTCCAGGCTTCAATTTGGCATCTGGGAAAGTTGGCTTGACTCCAAGACTGTGGTCACCCAGTGCTTATTACTCATTAAGCCTCGTTGGAGGGCCGAGTGGGTGCAGGCTGGGTGGGTGCTGGGTGGAAACTGCGGTGGTTGGAGAGTGGATGTTGTTGTTTTGGATGCCCTAGTTTTACAAAAGTGAAGAGTTGAGAACGTGAAAGAGTTTAAAATGTGTCATGTATGTACATCATTCTACCGATGTTCACAGCGTATGAAAGATTAATGTTGTAATGTTACCGTAAAACATCTTAATTTTATCTTAGACCTTTATTGGCTGTGTGAGATATGCGCCCAATGTGTGAGGTGTGGAAGCTCAGTAGACGGAACACAACTTATTATTCTACACATTTTCTTTTTGTGTGCTTTTCAAGAAACACAGAGGCAGTAGAAACTGGTTGCTATGTTACGTTTGGAGACAGACGTGTGATAGCAGTAGTGTGCGTGCTAAGTACTTAGGAACTGGTTTGGCTCTGTTTCACACAGAGGAGGAGCGAAGAAGGGGAGCAAATACAGGAGAAGTGCTATGCTGCTTATTCACCGCATCACTGCACACCGACAAACCGGTTCCTCTGTTTTATACAGAGAGAGAGAGAGTGCCACAATGCAAAATTTACTCTGGATAAACCGGTAGTGTCCATGAAAGCCCATCTCAAGGGTTTCCACAGTGAAGACAACATTGTTATTAGTGTGGTGATTGGTGGTAGAGAAAAAATGAAACACATTCCAGGGTGTACCGACGTCCGGTCCTCAAAGGATAAACGCTATGTAAGAGGACTGGCTGATGCACGTAATGTGACATCTGTAAATCCACATTCTTTTTTCCAGTGTTTAGTGAAGACAGGGCTGACCGGTTGAAACATTTCTGGTCAGTTAATGAGCCTGCAGGGCGTCTCCCCAGCTAAAGCTGCTGCTGCTGGATCGAAGTGCACCAGCACACAAGGTGACATACCACAGCTGTGAGTCATGACCACGGCATGCTGGGGGAGGGAGTTCCCTGATGTACTTACACACACACACACACACCTGTTTGTTGAGTAATCACTTGTTTGGTTATCATGACGGTCAAGGTCCACATACGATAGACAGACAACAAGATGGACAATGATTAGTCCGACAGATAATTGATGATAAAGTAGACAGATAAAAAATTGGACAGATGATATGGTGGGCACTTGATAAATTGGACAGATAATAAGGTGAACAGACAAGATGGACGGATAATACATTGGACAGATGGCAAGGTGGACAATGATAACGTGGACTGGTGACAAGATGGACAGATAATGAGATGGTTGATGATAAGAAAGGCAGATGGGGGCTCTCTATCCCCTGGTGGGAGCGTGTTTATCCGTGTGTGCGCACGTGTTTGGGGCGGAACTGCCGTGCGCAGCGAGGGGTAGACAATTGTAAAACTTCCAGGGCTCCGTCCCGCCCCAGTATAATGGTATGGTATGTAATATTATTTACACATATTTATTTCTCATTTTCTCCCTGGGAATTTACTATCATATAAAGAAAAAGCTATTTCTAAATACTATGAATTAACAAATATAAATAAATGTGGACTGTGACATAAGAAGACCCCCCATAAAAAGCAATGATATAAATGACAAATAAACAGTGTGAAGACAGGCAGGTAAATGACATTAGGTGATACAGTGATTCATAACTTCCCATTTACTGAAGCAATCTGACTGCAAGTTATTTGTTCAAATGGGAAGAGTCTGCATTGGCTTATCTGAAAAGAATGGAACACTCCTTTGAAAGGCAAAGTAACTCTTACTTTTAACTCTTACTCTTACTTACTGTTAAAACTGTACCGTACGAGCTGTACTTGTATTAGACTCTTTGTACTTTGTCACCCCCTAAACTCCATTAGAAAGTGTAACAACATCCCACTGTAATTATCGCAAACCATTACGGTCTCTATCTAGATTTGGTTGATCTTCTTTGTGAAAGGATGAGTCGGATTTGGCTTTTATTGTTTTCGTTTTTTTACGTATTAAGTATTTTCAGGACCTTCTTAAAACACATTAGAAATAAACATATTTTTATTACCAATGTAAAGATGTTTATTCCTAATAACAAACACATAAATAATTCTAAATCTGCAGCTTTACAGAGCATGTTTAGCCTATTTTAGGTCTATTATTGTGGTTTTTGCCACATCTACAGGCTACAAACTTGTGATAATCAGCTTGTTGTCAACTTTCACTTTTGGCAGGGTTTCATACTGACTGAGTGTGTGTTTGTCAGATAAAGAAACGGTCGAAGCAAGGCCTGAAAAGATCAAAGTCAACAAATGGGGAGAAAAAGCTGCAGACATGCAGGGAGGCTCCGCCCCCCTCATACCTGCCTACTTAAGAGGTGTGTGACTTGGCGACCTGCCACAGTCAGCTGGCCCCACCCAGACACTCCCTTAGGTGGGAATTAGGGATTCTGTGACTTGGGCGGGGGGGTTGAGGACTTGAACTTTGTGATGCAGCAGCACAAGGTCAGGTTTATTCAAACTGTTTGTTTGTTTGTTTGTTTATATTGAGTTCTGTTTCCCATATTTGCACTTTAAATGGCCAAAGAGGTGTTTTAAGCCTCTTAAAGGCATGTCGGCTGTAATTATCCACATATTTTTCCACATATTTGGTTAATCTTATTTTCTTTATTTTGGTGATAACTTAGATGAGTTTGATCCATTTTAGTGGAGCTTTTTTCAACCTTTTTCTTGTTATAAAGGTCTAGACTGATCGCCTCATTCTTAGTTTGTCCCCCCCTGTCTACACACACAAACAAGAGGTTGAGTAAACTGATCAACCAGGCCACAGACACACTGACGAGCTTTGGCCCAGACATTAACTCATACAGCCTCTCTCTCTCGTCCATTCTGGTGAGTGGGCAGGTTGTAGTCAGGGTCATCTCCATGTACACAGTAGTGAAGCCCCCCCACTAACACACAGAACCCCCCCTGTGTTCTGAGCTCAGTCAGGGAATTAGTCATCATGAACCCCTCTATCTCGCCGGGCTCGGCAGTGAGTATTTTACAAGCATTTTACCCCTCAGAAGCTTTTTTAAACCATTGTTTTTGTTAGAATGCTGCCATAAATATCACTTCATCCTATGAATACACAAATGCGACATCAGGTTGTTACTCAGTTCTCTCTGTCGTCTTACGTTTAGCTGGGAAACAAATGAGCAGCAGAGAAACATATTGTAAAAGAGACATTCATCAGGCCCTTTTCCCCCTCATAATGAGATTTATTTTTAAAGAATGGATATAGTTGAGATTTGCATCATCTTTATAACAGCTAGAATTTCCACTTGCCCAAACTCCTGTCAGTGCATGTACTGTTTCTCAGAGGGATTAAAACACAATGGACTTGTTTTGATTGCATTTAATCAGACAACACAGGCTCACAGTGTCATGAAAACCCAGCCCACTCATGTTGTGAGTAGATCCACTCATACGACGAGTGAGGGAATTAATTGCCTGCTGTCCATCTGTAGTTCTTATAAATATGTATGAAGATTGATTTCCTCCTTTTATGATAAAACCCTACACAGGAGCCACCTGGGTTAGTGGCTTCGACTCTAAGCTGGGCTAGTAGAGGCCGAACGGAAACCTCCCACACTGAAAAGTGGAGCCTATGCAGAAGTGCTTTGAGCCTCCATTCTCTCTGATGGTGGCCAGTCCTCTGATTGCATAGAGGTCAGATTATATACAAGGCTATTGGAAAATTACACTACTTCTCTCTTGATTTTATTCCCTCGATAAACATTGTAAACATAAGTTTATGGTCTCAATCTGTAGTTTCAAGTCTTGTTCAATACAGCATGATGTTCCTTTGGGAAATGATGGCTCATTTAAAATCAAATTGAGCATTAGAGAGAGTGTGGTTTGTTTGAACGTACAGTAACTCTACCCTGTTGTGTCACTTCTGGATGCAAGAGAACAAGGTGGCAATGGCCAAACTGCTTAATTCAAGGCTTGTGAACCATAGTCTAAACCAGTAGGGGGATCTGGTTTCTTTTGTTTGTTTGTTACATTTTCGGGTAAAAGTCCAAATATCGCAGCGTCTGCTGTTTTTTTTATGTGTATGTATTTATGTTTGTAAATCTTTATTTATAGTAAAACACACGGTTTACAACCTTTTGAAAATTACATCCAGCTGTACCAATGATCATCAAATATAAAAACCATGAATTACAATATATATATATATATATATATATATATATATATATATATATATATGAAAACCAAAAGTAAAATGTCATTTAATGCATATTGATGTTTAGACTTAAGGTAGACAAATGTCTTACTAGTTAAATGTAACCTTCTGGGACAGGGACAGGGACAGGGAAACCAATGTAACAAACAGTGTCCAATCAAATTGCTTGTCCTCCTCGTCCAGCGGAACGCGGAAGTTGAATTCACGGAAACACATTCCACAACTATATTCCAAAGTGCACGTTTGGAATATAGATGGAGTGCATGTTGCTTACAGACGTTTCCACGACCTCTGCAGCCAATAGGATCAGACTCCCAGAGCAGCTGGTTGTAAAATATGAATCGGATTTACTTTATGAGGGTTACTGTGATGAGGTTGATGAAATACTCATTCTTCTCTTTTTCTTTTGAAGGCCTCCGCATTCCAAAGCAACCAAGAGGACTATCCTGCTTCTCTAGACAAACTACGGCAGCTGACAACGTCCACGTCCTACAATCCTCAGGTAAATGAGGACAAATCATTACATATAATATAAAACCATATACTCTTCAGTTTGTAATGATTTGAGTGATGTTACTCTATGCTAATACACAATTGAGTGTGCCGTCCTGGTCCAGTATGTTTGTCTAGTCTGTCTAGCTCATTGATGATAATGTAATTTAAATGTGTGGTCCAGACCATGGACCCAACCAAAAAAACAAAAAGATGTGTCAATGATTGGTCACTGCCTTGATCAAGTCTTTGGAAACCTTTTGGATCCGACATGACTCCTCCTGGGCCTATAGTCAGCAGTATAGTGTGAATAGATGGAGGATCTGTGTCTTGTGGGAGCCCCTGAGTTTATTTTAGATTATCTTATGGAGCCCAACAAACTGAAAGTGACACAAGAGGCATTCCAATGGTTGTGTTGTGCGGTTTTAAAGTAATTTTAAACTAAAGCTTGTGTGTGTCTTCAAATATTATAAATGAGATTGTTCAGTGGCTCCTCCCACTGCAGGGAGCCGATATAATAAAATAATATGCAAGTGGATGATGACTGCTGAATGTTCCTGATGGACACATTTTATTGAAACGCTTTGTCCTTTAAAGGGTTAAATCCTGACTAATGTCACTGCGGGTGGACACAATAGGCTTCAGTCCGACACACAAAAACACTTGATGATTATCAGCAGTGTCGAACAGCCATCAAGTGTTATTCTGCCTTTGCTGATGTCGGAATTGCTTCTTTTTTTTTTCTAACTGTATGTTTTTAAAGCACATGTCTTGGCTAGAGGGCACATAGGCTAATTGCTCAACACTGCCATAACTGCTTTCCTCCCTAGGATATTTCAAAGGGATTTTATTTATCTGCATTCTTTGTGTGTTTTGCGGAATTACCATCATCTTCCGATTAAAAGTGTTTTGAACACATGGTTTGAAAGAAAGCCCTCCAAGGCTAAATCTTTGAATTTAGGTTCCCTGTGAGCCCAACACAGGGACACTAGCTAGCCAATCTGTGTGTCAATTGTCACAAATTGTCACAATTTTATGAAAGTCTGTGCTCAGCTCACGCTTTTGTGAGATTGCCCCAAAGTACATCAATATCAACTTGCTCCATATCCTGCCTAGTACGTCCTCCTGCAACTAAGTGGTCATAAATACTATACCGCTGCATTAAGCATCACTAGAAACTCCGACATTGAAGCGGAGTGTGCCGATTTCTGAAAAAAAAATCTGAAAATCTGATGTATACAATGTTCTACTGGAACCCTTTGTTTTTAGTCCAGTTCCTCCACTGTGATTCTCAAAGGTAATCTTTTTCTTTATCTGAAAACAAAAAAGGAATCTAAATGAGTTATTAATATATATTCCACTCGTAAGCTGCAAAGTGGACAGTGAGGACCTAATGCGATTTGGCTGCTGTGTGAACATGGCGTCAGCTTGTCCCTCAGACTGAGTCACATGGGCACAGACAGACCGACCACGGGGAGGAGAAGGGTGACCATCGCGTTCTGCCACAATGACTCGGTCGGCCTGTTGTCTTTCTGCCCACAGACGCTCACTGACAAACTCAACGAGTTCACACTTGCAACCCAATAACACGTCTCCGCCTCCAGCTCTGTCCTCACTCGCCATGTCCTCTGGCGTCTCTCTTGCTTTTTCCTCCTGTCTGCCTCGTCTCCTTTTCACCTCTTCTTGTCTGTCTATCTGAGTGTGTCCGTCGCCCCTCGCTCTCTCCACCCCCCCGCTGGTGATTCATCGCTCTCTTCTGCTTTACTCAATGTGTTGCCATGTCCGACAAACGGAGGCGGCAGACTACTGAACGCTGAGGCGTCCTACGAGCACTTGCTCATAACGAAAACGCGACAGAGAGATGCTCTGTGAGTATTATTGAAGTATTATTCAGACTGGAGCCGGAAAAAAACCAATCATGTGTTTATCATCAGAACAATCCCTTTCTTTTGTTCTCTCTCTCTAAAGTAGTGGTTCTTAACCTTGGTGGAGGTACTGACCCCCACCAGTTTCATATGCGCATTCAGCGAACCCTTCTCAATTGGAAAAATACAATTCAAAACATAGGTATATATTTTACTGGTGCACAAAATGAACCGTGCATCAACATCAGTGTTCAAAGAACAAAACCATTAAAACATTTTTTAACACTTCTGCCAGTTTTGGAGGCAGGATTTTTGTTGCTAACGCATGCCTGTGCAGAATACATTGAGTAACAATGATGTGTGGTGCATCGGCTTTCACTAGCGCACCAAAACCAGACTTTCTTCCCAGCATGACTGGAGCTCCGTCCGAACAAACTGCAGAAACCATATCCCACGAAAGATTGTTGTCTTTGAAGAAGTCATCCACAAGTTTCTTCACATCGGCTGCCTTAGTTGTTGTCGTAAGAGGCTTACAAAATAAAAAATCTTCCTTTATCACGTCGTCTTTCACATAGCGCACAAATACAGCAAGCTGGCTTAGATTGGAAACGTCTGTGGTCTCGTCCAGTTGAAGGCTGAATTTTGCCGGGCTTGAAATCAGATCTGCAACTACTTGAGCCAAGATGTCTTTGCTCATGTCCTCTATTCTGTCGCTAATGGTGTCATTTGAAAGAGGAATTTGGGATAACTGAACTTCAGCCGCTTTTCCCAGCATGATATTCGCCATCTTCAACACAGCTGGTTTTATGAGTGTTTCACCAATGGTGTGTGGTTTGCCCTGCTTTGCGATCAGGTAAGCAACTTCGTACGATGCTGTGAGGATCGGTTTGTTGATGGGTACAAAGCCGAGAACAGGCAGAGTAGCCTTCTCATCGAATCTGGCTCTCTTCACCTTGAATTCAGCGAGCGTTGTGTTCTTGTATTGTCCATCTCCATGCAGCTTAAGGAAGTGTTCTCTTAGTTTTGCCGGTGCTAGACTAGAATTGCTCAACTTAGCATTGCAAATCATGCAGTTAGGACGCTGACTCCCATCACGTTCCGTTATACATGTGAATCCATATTGTACATATTCGTCCGACCATATCCTTTTTTTGCTCGACATAGTATGAAGGGATTAAAATATTAAGAAAGAAATCACACGACGTACCATCACGACAGTCACAATTTGACTACTGAGCGCGGCAAATTCCCTGCAGCACAGATAGGCCAAGCGATGTTGCGTGATCACCTGCAGCCAATGATGGCCAAGCGGGGCGTGTAATCACGAATCATATGAGTCGGGTGTGTGTCTGGACCTCCGCCGAACCCCTGAGACTGACTCACCGAACCCCTGGGGTTCGATCGAACCCAGGTTAAGAACCACTGCTCTAAAGGACGTGCTAATGTGTTATATGTGCCTTAACTTATCTGGTAATCACATTAGCATAAAATAAAGTCTCCATAGACAGCTTGTTAACGTACCAACATCTAAACACAAAATCATTGATCAGTGCTAACAATAATGATCATGATACCTGTGTGAAGTCCGTAGGAAGTATATATTAAGTGCTGAAATAACTAAAAACAGAAAACCTTCCTTTTACAGATAACATGAATAGGTAGTGGTAGGAAAAAAACATCAAATATACATTTTAAGACTAATTTCAATGAAAGAATGAGAGCCGATAAAGCAATTATGTTTTAAATTACTCCAAAAACGGTGTTAAAGTGTAAAAAAGGGCATTTATGAGAAACACATGAGGCTCTTATAGCATACATAAAGTAATGGCTTGACAAGAAGATGTTTTTAAGTGGTCCTTGAAAATATCAACAGATGCCTCGCTCCAATTTGCTTTTTCAAGCAGTTTTGAGGAACCAGAAACCCAGCGGTGGAGGATCTATAAGTTGGTGGAGGAACACAGAGGGAGTAGGGAGTCTGATGTCGGCCGCTCCTAAGCCGCTTCATGCTGTGTGGACTTAGACTTTAAAATCGACTGGAAGCTGAAGGCGGCCTGTGCAGCGTAGCTAACAACGGGGGCATGTGGACCCTCTTCTTTTGCTCATGTTAGGAGTCTAGCAGCAGAGCTTTAAATAAGTTACAGCCTCTCAATGAATTTATTTTAAGGTTTAAGCTTAGTAAAAGATGCATTGCACTGGCAGTGGTGCATTGATTTCTCTGCACCTTGGTAGGTATAGAAGAGCATTACTTTCACACCGTCTCTCTAGACTAATAGAATGAAATGTTTGCTTTCCTATTCTGCATCGCCAGATATGGCTGCGAGAAGGTGTGTCAGCAATCTGTACTGATCTTTTATTTGTTTTTAAGTCTGCATGGACTGGTCCCAGAATATTTATCCAGCCTTATTAATGTGCATCAACCCTCCAGCGCCCTGAGGTCAGCTGACCAGCTGGTTCTGAACGTTCCTCGGTCGTTCCTTAAAACGGAAGGAGATGGAACCTTCGCAGTAGCGGCTCCCAGACTGTGGAATGCTTTTCCGTCTTCGGTGCGGCCTGCGACGAGACTTTTTACTTTTAAAACACGCCTTAAGACTCACTTGTTTACCTTGGCTTTTGGCCGAGTTAAGTCACCTGCATTGGATCTTTTATTTTGTTTGGCTTTAACTGTTTTTTGTTTGTTTGTTTTTACGTTTGCTTGTATTGTTTATTGCTGCTGATGTTTTTATCCTGTAAAGCGCTTTGGCTGGCCATTGGCCTTTAAAAGTGCTATATAAATAAAATTGACATTGACATTGACATTTGAATTAGGAAGTCAAAGGTCACTCTTATGTCATGTCCGATCAATTCTGAGGATTACTTTCAAATGATGCTCGAACTGAAGTATGAATTGGTTTAAATGTGGGGAACAAAGCTCAACAATTTAACAAAAAGATCTAATAGGTTGAAATGAGGAGCTGATGACACGTTAAACTGACACGTATGTAAACTGCAACTTGACTAGTTGGTCAGAGGCATACAAACGTGTGGCGGCAATTCTAGTTCAGTGCTCAAGGACACTTCAGCCAGAAACGATACCCTCAGCTGCTTGGTGAGTGTCGACAAATATACAGCACAGATAAAAACTAATTCAAACATAACAAATAAATCT